GAAGTGATTGTTGATAAATCAAAATAAATTAATTAAAAAAAAGATGTCTATTGAACATCCAATTCAAGGGGAAACTAGATGTCACAGTGAATTCTTATCCACTGGGACTGGAGGCAGAAAAACCTGAGTTCAAATCCAGCTTCAAAGACCTACTAGTTGTGTCACCCTGGACAAGGCACTTAACTTAATGTCTGTATGCTTCCTCAATTGTATAATGAGAATAATAATAGCGTCTACCTCCTAAGGTGGTTGTGAGGACCGAACGAGAAAATATTTGTAAAGCACTTAGCACAATGCCTGGTGCATAATGGGTTCTACAAAAATGCTATGATTATCATTATGATGTCCAATAGTCAGTTGGAGATTTGAGACTGGAGATCAGGAAATATGTTAAGGCTAGACAAATAGAACTGAGAATCATCTGCACAGGGATTGAATCAATGGCAGTTGATAAGACCAAGTGGAAGAGTATAGTGATATACATAGATATGAAAAAGCCTAGGACAGATCTCCAGGGGATAGCTACTGAAGTTTACTGAGCCATTGGAGTTTATTGAGAAGGATGCGGTCAGACTAGCCTTTCAGCAAAATCACTTTAGCAAGTCTGTGGATGTAGTGAAGATTCCTTTTCCACTTGGACTTAGCTCCTTCTGTAACCAACCCTCTATCTTCCATTCTTCCATTCTCTAAGCTCAATATTCCCAATTCCTTCCACCTTTATAATGGCCTGGTTTTCCATTGCTTCAGCATCGTGATCACTTTTATGTGCATCACCTTGTCAGTAGCTTTTTCTGAGATGTGGCTTTGTCATGACTACTATATTACTATTGATCCAGCATGAAGTCACAGGAGGTTTTTATTTTTGACTTATCAAGCTTGCAGCTCACATACTGGAAGGGAAGGGAAGGAACACAAATAGCCAGGAACTGTGCACTTCTACAAATTATCTCATTTGAACCTTACAATCCTGAGTAGCTGCTGCTATATATTTTTTTAAAAAAACACTTGAAGAAATTAGGTGTCTTTTTTAAGTGTCTGAGGCCAGATCTGAGTTTATGTCTTCCTGACTCCAGCACTCTATCCATTGTGCCACTTAGCTACTCAATGTGTTATCTAAACGTATCTTCTCTATTGTATTTGCGCAATTTATTTTCTGGAATGCACGTATAGGGCTTTGAATTCACCAAAATCTCATTTTACTCATTTACAGATTATCTGTTGAGAACTTTTTCATCCCAATTTGGTCATCTTATTTGCTTTGTATTTAGGTGCCAATTTGACATCCATGCCTCCATTTGTTTAAGTCATCAATGAAACATAGAACAGAGTCCAGAGACACTCTTTTTAAAACAACTCACAAGGGTAATATTTTTAATTGTTGTGTCCAGTCATTCAATCAGTTACCCAAATGTACCATAATTCAGCCCATGTTTCATGTCAATTCAAATATATATTAAATGCCATGTTTTCAACGTGGGAAATTCAAAGTTTAGACAGCCAAATATTTAAGTTAACATATTTAAAGCTTTGCAAGCCTTAAAGTACCACACCTATAGGCTAGCTTTTATTATTGCCGAAACAAAATATACATTTGTGGCATTCTCTTGATCTATGTAGCAACATCATAGAACAAAATGGCTGCTAATTAGTCTACCAATCAGCTATGTGTATTAGCCTTTTAAAAACTGGCACTGATATTGTCCATTGTTTTACCACGAATTTTGTGTTTGATGTTTTCTTTTACATAGTTTGAAGTCAGTGTGTTCTCCACACCCAGTTTGTATCATTTCAAGTCTACCTATACCAATTTGCATGCTTAATATTCAGAATTCTTTATATGACACAATTATATTTGTGCAATTTATATTACCAACAAATCACATTTTTGAAGTATGCTTTAATCATGTGTACATGTGTAACCGGGAATATTTCCAATGTCTCCTTTGCTGACATGTCCACTATGTCACTTTGCTGGTTCGAGATTGGATGAAAAAGGGGACAGCCAGGTGTTGCAGTGGATAGAGCACCAGCCCTGAAGTCAGGAGGACCCGAGTTCAAATCTGGCCTCAGACCAAACACTTGACACTTACTAGTTTTGTGACCCTGGGCAAGTCACTTAACCCCAATTGCCCGGAAAAAAAAAAAAGAGGCTACTTTTTACTAGCTGTGTGACCCTGGGCAAGTCACTTAACCCCAATTGCCTAAAAAGAAATTTAAAAAAAGAAACATTTAATTGCTTATTATGTGCTGGGGGTACATAATAAAAAAAGCTTTCAAGGAATTTTTCTGACAAGGAGACCAACACATATAGGAAACTAGTTCATGAGGGAAAGTCCCTGTGATCCTAAGACATCTGTCTGACAGACATATCACAGGATTAAGTCTTTTAATCTATTATTTATAAAAATGCAAATATAATAAAATAAAATTTAATAAGAAAACATGAATATAGTCCACATATTTTATGATCATGATTTAATATTAAAATATATAAAAGTATTAATTATTAACCTACTAAACTTGTAATTACATTAACTTGGGGAAGAATCCTAATGGTAAAAAAAGTGATTACAGATTTGTTTTCTTCTGTTACTATGTCCAAACAAGAACTGGACATAGTAAATTCCCAGGTGAGGAAACTCCCTCTAATGCTTGTTAGCACCTTCTCTATAACTTGTCCTTAAGACTTACTTTGAACAAGAGCTGAAGTGCCTTGCCAGGGTCAGAAAGCCAGCATACACCACTACCTCTTATCTTCTAACGCTGGTTCTTACTGTTACGGTAAAATTCAACCAGCCTTATTTATGTTTAAATACTGGATTACCAAATGTTAACAAATTATCCAAATATTAAGATTACCAAATTTTGGATTATGTTCAAATGATGGTAACTGGATAATAAGAGTAATTACAGTATATCAAAACATCTACAGTTAATTCAAAATTTGTGAATTTATACCTGCTATAATTATTGCTTTTTCTTTTATTTTGAAAATTTTAACATTTTTCATTCTGAACTTAAGAAATAAAATCAGCATTTCCAAAACAAAGTGGAATAGAAAAACAGGGGATTGTACCTGAAACTGCAGATTATGCAGTTCTGTACAACTTGCTTATCATGTAACTTTATTTCTTCCCCCTCCCCCCATGGCTACCAACGTGACAAAAATATGTCTGTTCTCTGGATGCAAAACAGCAACTTCCTTCATAGGATCTTTCTAGTTAATTTTGGCAAGTCAGAATGACTTGGTCGCTCAATTGTTCCAATACTGCTGGTTACTGTATACAATGTTCTCATATACTGAATTAAATTGAATTTACCAAGATCTAGATAAAATAAAGTCCTAGAGTAAACAGGTATTTATACAATACTCAATCTTAAAAAGTAAAAACCTCAAAAGAATACAGGAGTCACAAAAATTAATGTCTTTGGGCATTTTATTTAGTCAAGTAACAAGAAACCTCTACAATATTTCACATACCAGCTAGTCACTAGTAACAGCAAGAATCTATGCACCAAAAACACAGCTGAGTAGTACAATCACAACTCTAATGCAATTATTTTTAACCTGCTGAAAGTTTTAGTGGATAAACATTGATGAAATAAGCACACAGTGAGATGCATGCAAGTACCAGGTGAAATGTCACCCAATACCAAAAACAAGGAATCATGAGCACAAGATGTCCCTTCTTTGATCTTAAGCCTCAGTCGATGGGCCATGTTTTTTTTAGCACAGGAAAACCTTATTATCAGCAACAAAACCACTATTCTGAATATTATGAAAACACTCAGGAAACCCCCATGTCTCGGGCCAATTAAATCAAGAATGATTTGAACCAGAGGAAAAGTATTATCCCTTTCCCAAACCTGTGTACTACTAGGACATAAACAAGCTCTTGGTTCTAAAGAACAGGTCTGTGAGCTTAGGTATAGATGTTCAGAAGCACTGGGCCCAACCATGTTGCCTCCTTCACATAAGCGGCTATTATTACTGAATTACCCTCTGTAGATCATTGGTGAGGTTAAGATCAGATTGCACAAGAATTCAGAGACAGGCACAAATTCAAGTTCCTGAATCTACAATTTCAATTGAAGACACCTTAATGAACCTGCCATTGTCTGGGTGTGTGGCAATTTTGGATGACCTCAAGAAGCCAATGCCTAGGATAGGCATTTGCTAAGAGGATATCCCGTTTACCCACATAGGCCTCCAGGTTTGTTTGCATCTATAATGACCACCATTCTATTAAGCAAATAAACATGTTCAGAGACCCCTGTAAACCTCCCACTCTTTCCCACTCCAACCCCTTTCTAGCTTAAAAAAACCCTAAAACTCAAAAAACCCAAACCCAAGTCTGCTCTGAATCCTAACTTTTCATTAGGACCAGTTCAAGAAATGCAACCAAGTGGAAAGTAAGGACATTCATTCATTGTTAAAAGTAGGCCCTGACATACTAGTCTAACAGAAAATTTGGAGAAACCACAAGTATAAGGAAAACACCCATATTAAATGGGGGAAACCCACAAAAACCTGAAACAGTTTTTACAATGGCTGAATATTTACTAGACAATGTTGACTACAAGGTATGCTTCTGCAACTAAAGAGGAGAATAAAAAGATGCTGAAAATACATGTTAGATACTAACGATCTTCAGGCTTTGAAGATGTCATTGCATGAAGAAAATTATGGGAAACACTGTCCCCGATAATTACGTACACCCTTAGTGTAACATATGGAGATCACTGTCTCCGATATAAACACCGTGGTAGGCAAAAACTACCTTGTTCTTTACTCATTATGGAAGACACTGCTTCCGATAATGTAAGCTAGATTTGTAAAAGAGGTACTGGAAGTTTTGCACTGAAATTCTGATGAAATGCAGGCATGCCAATTTTAAGATGCAACATTTTACAAAGATGACCACCACTATTAAACTCTTTTTTAAAGAATAGTAATTGGGTTTATTTATTTCAACTTCATTATCTTTGTGCTAAATAAATGCACCAATCTTGCCTAAAATGTTCTAATCCTGATCTGTTCTGCTCAATAGGCTATTTCCTCAAGGATTTGACTTCATCTCACCATTTACTCAAAAAGTTGTGGTCAGTCTAAATTTTAGAGTCAAGACCTGTCCAGTGGCAGCACACAAACAAGTCATATGCAAAACTTCTAGTATCTGTTCAGATTTATTAGCAGATGCTGCTTTTAATTCAAAAAGACGACAGTATAACTGTCATAATTATGGAAGGCACTGCTTCCGATAATTATCTTCTATAAAAAAATGAAACACCATTTATAGTGAACTCTGTCACTGATAAATAAAGACAAATAAATATCTCAGTGCCAAATAACAGAAAGCTTTCCCATGAGGTTAACTATTTGGCCAAAATTTGGCAAATATATAGTTTAGATTTGACAAACTGAGCAAGAGTGATATCTTTTCAATAGTCCATATCGACCTGACATAGTTCAGAGGACTGCATGGAAAAGTCACTAAAGCCAATTTTCTTCTTAGGGGAGGGGGAGAGAGGTGGGGGAAACAGCAGGAAAAAGTTATTATCAAAAAAGTTCTTTGGCTTCTAGTCTCCTCTATTCATGAAGAATTCTAGGGTATACACCAGGGTCATGCTTCTGTGAGAATCACCAAATGAAATTTATTCAGGTGAATCACCTCTATTTTAGACACTCCTGGCAAGGAAGTCCTCTCCCTGATTGACTCTGTTTCACAGAGGGAAGAGAACTACCACATCTCATAACCTCATCTCTCGGTCAACAGCAAGAGAATACATTAAAAGTGGACATGGAGTCCTCAGTAGGCATCTTCTTTTTCATGTTCGGGGTAACAATTGTTGGATTAGGACTTAGTGCCATTATTGGACCTGTGGTTCCCCCAACTGCTTTTGGTTGGGGAGGGGGTGAGCTGAGGCAGTTAACACTGCAAATAACCTTAGATGGAGCCTACAGATTAACTAGAAGGAAAGGTCTTAATTTTTCAAGAGTAAGTTTAGTTTGGCAGGGGTGTAAAACATTCACCTAGCATTAAGTACAATTACCTTGTACTAATTGCTAGGCAGGATTTAACTGTTTAACAAAGCTTTTAACTTTATAGTCCTGCTGAAAATATTGGATAAGACCAGTGATGATTTTTGAGGACTACATTGCCTTACTGTTCCCATTTGAGTTGTGGGAGTTTCAACTAAAATTCATTGTCTATGTCCCAAATATTACCAGCCAGTGAATTTGCAGCCCCTTGAATTGTCCAGGTAGCAAGGGCTAACTGGTTTCTGAACAGTGTTTCATTGAAGTTATTGTCTTTATTCTTCAAAAGTTGTAAATGGTTTAACAAAGCTGAAAGAGTATGAGAGCCAGATCCCCAGAAGATATGACGAAAGGGAGTTTCTCTTGGAGAGACATAGGGAGAGAGGAGGCTGTATTCCACCTAAAAAAAAAAAAAAATTTAATCCTCTACCACAGGTCTGGAAACCACAACTTTATTTATTTATTGTTTTTAAGGCAATTTGGGTTAAGTGACTTGCCCAGGGTCACACAGCTAGTAAGTGTCAAGTGTTTGGTCTGAGGCCACATTTGAACTCAGGTCCTCCTGACTTCAGGGCCGGTGCTCTATCCACTGTGCCACCTAGCTGCCCTGGGAAACCACAACTTTAAAAAAACAAAACTTTGAAAGACAAGAATTCTGACTAATGCAATGACAAAAAATGATTCTAGAGAACCGATCTCCTGACAAGAAAGGGAACAGACTCGAGATGGTAGAGGAGATAAATTTTTTAGACATGGCCTGGGTGGAAATTGATTTTACTTTACTATGCATCCTTCCCCTCACTCCTTTTCCAAAGGTAAGGAGGTGGGACACAAAGTATGGAACACAAAGATAGAAAATACAATGGGTCAAAAAGCTGAAATAGAAGTAGGCATGAATATCTACAAGATGAGGTCCTTAGACCCTAAGGCAGTTATTATTATTAGACAATCAACATACTGGGTGGCCCAAAATTCAGGTGCAGCTTTCAATTAAAGTATACATTTATTGAAACTTTAAATCTTCAAGGCTTCATAAAAAAATTTTTTTAATTTAAGAATTTCTAATGCGAATGGTGAACCCACTTGCCAAGTTATTACCTGCTATGTATAGAGAAATCCTATTTTACCTACAATTCAAGATGGAGATATTTCCCACCTATCTCTAAGTTCAATGCCTAGCTCCTAGGTCCCCCCTCTTAGTTCAAGACTGTTGGATTTTCTTCATTCTGTAAATGAAATATTTTTACCAAGAGTAAATTACTTACTTTCATGATACGATCATTGATTTCTCTATTAACAAGCTTATTGGCAGTGTCTGAACGATAGAGGTCATTTGTGAGGTCATGAGTAGCTCTGCTAAAGTCCCCACGAGCAGAGAACATCCACTGATAATTCAGATTCAGGCTCTGAAACAGACAATACAACGTTTACAGCCTAAGAGGGAAAGTACTCTGTTCAAAATCAATTACCAAGGACTTAATAAGTCCTCCCATTCCTAGACAAGGTCAAAGCATTTCCCCACAAATTTAAGCACGTGACATTGAAAACTCAGGCAAGTTTTCTCTACCTTTCAGACAGCCAACCTAGTAGACAAAAGAACCTTTGTGGAATTAAAATACTAGATTTGTTCTAGGGATTTAAGCAATACAAAGCAAAGTACAATAGAACACTTAAATTTGTCTCATTGTAACACACTAAAACTTCCCAAGATCTAAAAACAAAGATTCTGAAAACTAATACCTAAAACAATAGACCAAGCTTTATATAGTACAAACCTTTAACTCTGACTTGTATGGCAAAAGCTTCCTCACAAAATTGAATAACTCTTCATTGTACCTTTCATAATCTAGGTACAACTCATGGTCCCGGGTAAGCCTAATCACCATTTGGACAGTCACTTCTGCAGCTGCCTTCATCAGCTCTTTCAGCTGAGGAATATTTTTCAGTTTATCATAAGTATCCAGTTTGGTGCCCAAATATGGGTAAGGTTTATTCTAGAAAACAAACAAAATCTGATTAGTATTGGAAAACAGTTTTGGGAACCTTGACTTCAGATTTTATTTCTAAGGGAAATTTAATATTTAATAAAAATTTCTAAGCGAGGAGAAAGTGTCAGACTAGTGGTCATTTTAACAAGCATTTACTGAGTATTTACCTATGTGTCAAAAATGAAAGCTCCTGACCTCAATTGAGCTATGTGAAGGCATTAAGATACTTATGTGCCAGTTGATGGAGAGAGAAAGGGGAAAAAGTCCAGGACCTCAAGGGAATTATATTCTACTGAAAAGGGAAACACCAGTACAGTTCAATACTAGATGCACAGAGTAAATGATGGGGAGGTCGCTTGAACCAAAGGGACCAGGATAGGCCTATAATGGGAGACGCCCAGTGCTCCATGCCTGTGAGACAGTCTATGCAAAGGCATGGAGACAGAACATGGCCACTGTGCCTAGGAAACAGGGAAGCAAGTCTGACACTGAATTGCTCTAGAGAGCCTGAATTATTCTGGAAAGCAATTTGGAATTATGTCCAAAAAAGTTACTAAACTACTTTTGACCTAATAACCATATCACAAAGAATGAGGAAAAGGACCCATGTATAATGGCTCTTTTTGTGGTGGCAAAGAATTGGAAACTGAAAGGATGCCCATCAGCTGGGGAATGGCAAAACAAGTTATGGTATATGAATATGATAAATGAAGGTGAAGGTTTCAGAAAAACTAGGGAAGAGTGGAAGGAACTGATAGAATGAAGTGAGCAGAACCAGAACATTTTATCCCATAACAGCAACACTGTAAAAAATAAACATTGAAAGACCTGATCAATATAATGACCCACCTCAGTGCCAAGGACTTGTGACAAAACAAGCTATCCATCTCCAGATAAAGTCCTGACGGACTCAAGCGTATAGATAGAGGTTACATACAGCTACTCAAGTTTCTCGAGCATAGAAATGACATGGTCTTAAACTGTGATTTAGTAACATTAAACCGGCAGCTCATGCAATTGTCCGTTGACCCTCCACAGTACCAACTACTACTCCAGTAGCTCTTCCCTAGGACTCCCACTTCTTTGCTTCTCTCCTAATACCCAGTGCTTCAACCTCATTCCTGTTGCTTTCACTTAAACACTAAGCGAGCATCAGTCCTGCTGATGCTGACCCCCACCTCATTCCCGGCTTTGATAAAGCTGGGTCTCTCCTGACCAACATGCCACCACTGCCAACAATGCTATGCTGTAGTTGTAAACTGACTAAACTCTCCATTATTCTAACCATTCAACACAAGCATTTGTTGAGAATCTACCACAGGGAAAAAAAGGGGAGAGGAAGGAGATTCAGCAGTAGGAGACCTTTATATTATAAGGCAGTAAACACAAAAAATTCAGCACTGGCTAAGAAACAGAAGATAGATTAGTGGAACAATACAGTAGTAAATGACAATAACAACTTTGTGTTTGACAAATGTAAAGATTTAAGTTTTGGGGATGTGAATTCATTATTTAGAGAGAAAAAGCCTGACAGAAATTTGGGCATATTGGGCATCAATATATTATATCATGTATCAAGACAAGGAACAGGGATAATATAACAGCTACCATTTCTACAACACTATGTTGCCAGGCACCATAGAAAGGATGCATGAAAGAAAACTATACTTTATATTTTTATAGTATGTATGTGACCCAAGTTGTTGTTTTGGTTTATTTTTAAACATCTCTTTCAAACTCACCTCACAAAAACGGAATGAAACTGATGGGATTCCAGAATAGGCAAGGAAGGGGTAAGCAGCATTTTCCAGTGAAAGTGGTTCCCTGAAAGGAAACCAAGTATTAGCCACTTTGACTAAGAATACCTCTACAGCAAGCGTTTCCCTCTAAAAAGTTTTAGTGAAATGCAACATTGGAGTAGGCCATTTTTTTAAAAAAGCTATTTCAAACCATAATATTTTAATACAGAGCTAAGCCTTTAGCTCATATGATTAAGCTGGTAGGCCATTGTTTCTTCATTCAAGTAGCACCCAAACTTACACCTCGCTGATCCAGTTAGTGTCTCTGAAGAGAGGCTTTCCTGTAACTGGATGGTTCACCTGCATGCAAGAAAGACTAAATTGGCATCAACTTCAACTGAAAGCTGCCTGAGCTCAATAATTTCAATAATTTTAGAAGCAGTCAGCTTTTAAACAAGATTTAGACTAAGACTGAAGAGGAAGTATAAAAGTTCAAGGTTTCATTTCAGTAATACCCTTTTAACAAGGTCCACTTATTAATGTAAAAAATTTTAATTCTATTTATGCCCACAAGTTGTTTCTTTTCCAAGGAATTACTGATCTCAAGAGTTGTTCATTGCTTTGACAATGGATACAATGTTTTTTTGCTAGCAGTCCCCTACCTCTTGATATGACCACCTCTGATGTGAACTATTTTGCATACACTTAACTGATTGAATTTTGTAAACTAAATGAATTTTGTAAACTAAACTGTGGTGTTGAGTATTTACTCATTCCTAATATACAACCTTGATGTATAGTTATTTTTCTTCTCTAATCCATTTTAGAAAATTTAGTATGGCATTTCACTTCCTGGCTCAAAGTGGTTCCTTACTTTAAATCAGGCAAAGGAACTTAGGGAGTAGGACTAAGGTCCTAAACAATCTCCTACCAAGCCTACGAAACCATCCGACCAAGCTGGTTTGGTTATTTGGTTATTCTAGCATATGAAAATGTGTTCATTCTCATCTACATGCATCAGTGTTCTCCCTGTCTGGAATGCCCACCTGCTACACCTAATGCTAGTCCTGACTTCCACCCCACTTCTGTGAAACCTGGAACCCAACACTTAAGGCCCTTGTCGAACTTGTTCAGCACTTATTTTTTTTTTCAAATAAATGTTAGTGCTATCTTCTCTACCATACATGGTCTGATGAGCCACACCGTACTTGGCACAGAGCAGAGAATCACGTGTTTACTGATTAGCAAGTAGGGGGATCTAAGTTAGTCCTATTTGTAAATGCAGATGTTACAAGAATGCAGCTTATTACACGCGTTATGGATAAATGGGAGCCAAGTCATCACCTCGTGGTGCTCAAGGCAACTGCTGGACACATTCCTTGCTGAGAAGGTGCTGCGCTGGCCGACAGGATTTCCTCACCTGGTAGTTTCCAATTAACAAACTCTCCAGAGGACCAATTTAAAGGACTTACCTCTTTCATGATTCTCTCCATGAGCGTATACAACAAGGGACTGGCAGAGACTTTGAAGTTATTTGAACCTGTAGAGTCAACAATACTTATTTTCCACAGTAACTTTTGACTTACCATAAACTAATTCTGATGGTGGTCTAGATTCAATTTTAAAGTGATTTTTAAAAAAAGCTTCATAACCTAACTCAAAAATCTAATTAAGTCATTTAGAGAAACAGGAAAAAAAATGACCAGGGTCCAGTAGTAATTTTTAGTATGCTACCAACTTTGACTTAAGAGAAACCCTACTGAATACTTTCAGAAGTCAAAGCAACATCTTTACAAGTATATTCATACTTGTAAGTATATACAGCACAGCCTAACAGAACATAAGCCAGAAATCCAAGAATGCCATTATTTCATATGGAATAATTTGAGCAAATGTTAAGGTAATTAATGAATTTACTGTTGTTCAGGGAAAGTGATGGTTCTAGGCTGAAATACTACTCAAAGTTATCTCTACAAAATGTGAAACTAGTGGTGGAGAAGTTAGAGGTGTCGGTGCCATTTCCATACATAAAAGCTTTCCTGAGGCTCCCTTACTTGCACCTCACTCTGCCACCCCCTGGAAATCTGTAGAACATAAGCTTACCAACAACAGCAGTGTCCAGATTGATGTAAGCGACGGCCTTTAGATGCAATGTGGAAAGGTAACCCTAAACAAGGAGAGAATCCAAACAAAACATAATTCAGTTCAAAATGAAAAGGTTGGTATTTCTGTTAAATATCATTGACACGTCCATGTTAACCAGTACCATTTAATTAAGAACTCAATCGGAGAACGTTATTCAGTAAAGACTGCATACCTCTAGCCATTCAGTGGCACCAACAGATCCAAATTCTCCACCACTCCAGCTGGCAAAGACAACGCTTCTTCTGGGTTTATACCCATCTTAAGACAAAAATGAAATTTTTCTTTTAAGTTTTGGTGATTCTTTTCATATTTGACCTTAGTTGTTCCCCAACAGACTGCCTCCCTCCATTGAACTCTATACTTTTTAGGAGGAGTATATAGGAGAGCCATTAAGCAAAACTGACATCGTACCCAGAATCCTCTACCAAGAAGTGGTCTTTTTTCCAGGAAAAAATTTCAATCTGATTGCCTTTTTTACCCTATGTAAACCAGGCAAGTAAAGTGATTTAAAGTTTGCTAGTAACACCACAGTCAGATAACGAACAGACAGACCGCCTTGAGGTGGTGCCACTAGCAGGTCTCAAAACAGATGGTTCAATTGCATGGAAAGTGAGACTGTCCCTGCCCTCCAAAGAGCTTATACTAACTGAGGAAGACATTGCACACATAACGGTTCAGTTCACTGCAGATACTTGGGGTACTAGTTCCGTCACTGTCAAGGATCTTGGTAAGCAACGTGAGGCAGATGGCACCCAACCAAGGGAGTCCAAGGACCAGAATGAAATGGGGCCTGAGATACTGCTGGCAGAGACAGTGATGGCAAGGGGAAAGAAGTGTTTAAGCAACCAACTGAGTCAAGCACCTGGTTGGAAGCCATAACTGGAGGTCCAGTTTCTGGCTATCAGGGTAGTCTTGGTGCTCAGGTTGCCTATTAGAGAGGAAGGGAAGGTCCCTTAGCTCCCTGTGGTGAAACTCCATTGCTTAAACAAAATTTAAGGGTAGGTTTTAACTGAAGACAGAAGCTTCTGTTAATGTGCCTGAATGTCCTATGTCGAATGAGAATTACACCATCAATTTTTGCCAGGACTTTATCCTTTCTATGACCAAAAGGCTCACTGAACCTTTTTACCATTTTTTTCACCCTATAAGGCAGCTAAAATGGAATTTTCTCCATAACTAGCTGATCAGCCAGTCAATAAGCAAGCACTTTCAGCTCAGCTACCGACCATACCTTTTACTCTGAACCAGGAAAACATTGTACATAGTAACAGCCACACTGTGTGATGACTGACTGATAAACTTAGCCCTTCTCAGAAATGCAAGGATCTAAGACATCTCCAAAAGTCTCGTGATGGAAAATGCTATCCACATCCAGAGAAAGAACTTAGGAGTCTGAATGTAGATGGAAGCACACTATCTCCTTTTCTTTTATTTTGTTTTGTTTACTCTTTCTGGTGGTTCCTCCTATTGGTTCTAATTCTTACTTACAACATCACTAATGTTAAAATATGTTTAATAGGAATGTGTATATATAGCCTGCATCAGATTGTGTGCTGTCTTTGGGAGAGAGGGGGAGAGGGAGGAGGAGAAAAATTTAAAACTCAAAAGCTTATGGAAGTGATTGTTGATAAATCAAAATAAATTAATATTTAAGTTAAATAAAATTAATTAAGTTAATTAATAAAGTTAAGGGGTAGCTAAGTGGCACAGTGGATAGAGCACCACTCTGGAGTCAGGAGGACCTAAGTTCAAATCTGGCCTCAGACACTCGACACTTACTACCAGTGTGACCCTGGGCAAGTCACTTAACCCCACTGCCTAGCCGAAATAACTAAAGAAAGTGAAAAAAAGGATAAGTTCCCTAGAGCAGAGACTTTTTGTAACCATAGCACTAGTAAGTAAGAAATCACCAGAAATCCTCAGATTTTCCTAACAGTTTCCAATTTCGAAAAGATGCGACACTAGCCAAGATTCAGCCAAACATTCCATAGTTCTTGGAATACTGAGTTTTGTGTTATAATCAAAATGCACAACTATAATTCAAGGTCACACTTGGTAAATTATGTTAGTCCTGAAGTAACTTTACCTTTAGACACCAAGTCAGAATATGCACGCGCAACCTCCAATAGAAGAGATGTCCCTACAAGAGATTTGGCAGTTCCAGGGCCCCAGGCATCCCTCTGAGCCCCTATCACAACATAGCGATCTGCAAACAAAAAGATCATGTTGAATTTATGCCTAATTCAGTCCAAGTTGAAGTGATGAAGTGAAAGATCTTGAAAACAAAACAGGCTTTTTGGGAAAGATCTGTAGAGTAGCACTCTGCCCTTCATTACAAGCTGGGACTATTTGTACTTTGGGAGAAAAGACAGCAAATTGGGGCACTGGCCTTGCAGTCCTAGACTTAAGATACTGTGACTCAGGTAAAGAATAGGTTCCTTCCTAACACAGCCTCATCTCTATGGGCAAGACATGCTTCTTGAAAAGATTTTTTGTGCAACACGGATCAAGTAAGTTTAGTCTATGATAACGATGAGTCTAAAAAAAGTCCAAAGCTGCTATCATCGACTAATCAAGAGTTCAGGAGTCAAATGCTTAAGTATTTTTACGTGTATATCTGTATCGCACAAAGGGGTAACCTACCAGTAGCTCCCTCGGTATGTTATTTTTCAAGTATTTCTTTTCAAAATATTTCTTTTCACTCGCTAAGTTACTAAGAGGTTCAGAAGCAACTATTTCTCTAGCTCCTACAAACTGAAAACCATAATGTCAAATAATGTATTTGAATTCAAAGTTTGAACTGATTTAGATAGATCAATATATCTCAGCTCCCTAGAATGTTACCAAATTCTCCCTACTAAAGAGAATAAGCTGAAACTGTAGGAGCCGTAAGCAGCCAGCGGCAGCATACATAGGTCAAAAGTTTATCTGGTATAACTAATACTTAAGTATACATATAAAAAAGGAAGAACACCAAAGAAAGCCTTACCTGGTTCATCGATGCCTTTGACAACTCCAAAGACGTTGAGAAGTTTTCTTTCTTCCAGTACGTTGTTGACAGTAAGTCTCACATTCATATCTGAGCTTATCTTACAGTCACTATCTACAATCCAGGATGGGGGACAGGGCTCTCCATGCATTTCCCTGAAAAGGAAGGATAAAGATGAACTGCCCGCCCCTCCTTTCTACCAAATAACCATCAGTCGTACGAATGTTTGATGACATCGGACCTTGGAGAATAAGAGCCACTTCTCGGCACCACTCTCTTCCCTCCTCTAACTCTTATTTGCTTACCTACTTTGCCTAATAAAGAGATTCTTGCATATTCTTGCAAAGTTAGGAAAGAGACCCAATCCAATAGCTAGTAAGATGGAAATTAACAGGGATAATTATAATTCTACAAAGGGTAAAGATCTGGCCTGAAAACAGGTCACAAAAGGCACTGGGGCAAAAGACTTTGGGGCTTTTATTTAAGTATAAGCTTGACTCTGAAACACAAGCATCATGGATTTAGAGCCTGAAAGACCTTAGAAGTCAGAGTCCAACTCTTGTCATTTGGCAAATGAAAAAGATATTTTCCCAGGGTGGTAAGTAGTAAAGCTGGTTTCAAATCCAGCAGTCTTTCCACTTACCACAAGACTGAATAATGGCTTATGTTTTGAGGTAGAATAAGCCTCTTTCACCAAAACTCTTACTTTTCCTATTCTCTCCAAATCTACACACATTTAACACTCTCTCAGAAGAGTCCATCCCAAATCTCCAAAATTATACTTTACACAAAGACAACTTCTTACCTTAAGAGTTTCAATGCAAGTGTTCTGGAGATTGTTTGGACAGGAATATTAGGTAATCCTGATGACTGTGATGGCGGGAACTGAGTGTGATTAAAGGAAGGGAATCCAGGTGTAAAGGGATCACCTGTTCCTAGATGAGCCTATTAAAACAAGAAATTATTATTTCACAAGTTAACAAAAAGACCAGTTTCTATCAGTATACTATGACCAGGAAAATCTAGCTCCTAGATGATAGAAGAGTGTTTTAGTAATATCTAGGGACTTGAAAGATTTGGGAAATCAAGGATCCTTGATTTTATTTGTACACATGACTTGTGTTTCCATTTCTGGGTGGAATATGCCTGATCTTTCAGAGGTTTATGGACAACTCTATAAAAATCATAAAGCTGCCCAGATGACACTAAGAAAACCTATTTTACAGAATTACCAACTAATTCACAAAAATCAGAGCCAGGCCTCTCAAAATTTATCTAATCTTCTGGTCTATAAAGGTTATAGCTATTTCAGAAAGATGCCATATACACTTCTCCATTTCCTTTGATGAAGACCAAATCCAACTACTTCAAAGAATATTCATCCAGACAGGGAGAGAAAGAAAACTCACATGTCCAAAAGGTACAATATCTGCCTCAATAATATCAAAGTCAAAACGAGCAAGGTATATCAAGACACCAACTGCTTTATAGGCTTCGGCATTTGCAACCTAGAGAAAAATGACAGTATTTTAGGTTTGACAGGGTTAAAATGTTTGGTTCTATGTTTCTACAGGGCTTAGACTTCCAACCAAGATGATTATGATTTCCTGAACTGGACAAATGGGCAGAAGTGGCACCCACAAAAGCAGAAGACAGAAATTCAGCTCAATATAAAAGAATTAAGTAGTGAGAACCCTATTCCTAGATGTGTGCCTTTTCTTAAAGGCAGCATGACCAATTCAATTCAGTAAACAAGGGCTATGGATATAATGAGCCAAAAGACAGTCCCTGCCCTCAAAGGAATCTAATGGAGGAGACGACAATGCAAACAAATTATACAAAGCAAGCTATATACAGACGCAGACCCAGACAGGTGATGAGGGCCTGCACCAGAGAGGTGGCAGTGTCAGAGGAGAGAAGGGGCATATTTGAGAGATATGCCGTGAAACTGACAGGTCTTGTTAACAGCTTGGGGGGAGGGGGGGGAGAGCGGCCTGAGACTCCAGCATGACTGCTAGGGTTATGATACTGAGGAACTGGGAGAGCAATGCTATTGCCCTCTATAGCACCTGGCCACAGAATGACACATGTATGATTATCATATTGCTTGCCTTCTCAATGGGTGGGCGAAGGGCAGAAGGGAGAGAGAGAATTTGGAATTTTAAAGTTTAGAATTTTTAAAATGTTAAATATAAATTTAAAAAATAATACAATGAGAAACTACAGTAACCTCCCCCTCCCCAGAACTGCTTAAGAGGTAAGTCAGATGCGAAGGACAATAGGAAAAGGGGCATCAGCAAAACCAGTGAGTGCAAGGCAGCCAGACACCACCCAAGGACACACGCTGCCTGAAAGACCCAGTGTCTGAAGGAAGCCAGAGCAGAAGGCTCCCTTGAGAAAGCTCCAAGGTGGAGAGGTTGGCAGTGCCAGGGAACAAAGAGCAGCAGGCCAGTAATCAGGCTAGGACAACTTCCAGGCTGAGATCTCTCAAATCTGGCCTGAAATGCCAGTGAGGGCCCTGAAGGTTGAGCACTCTGAACCTCAAAGATCTAGGAGACCCCTTCCAGGTATGAAGGGCAACACAGGAACCCAGGCAATTCAGGGCAAGACCAACCAGGGCCAACCACCTCACCCCAAAATAGCAAGGCAGAGACTAGAATTGGCACAAAGTCTCACATCATGAATAAATCAAAGAAACACCAACCAGTATGAAAAATTACAGTTCTCAAATCAACAAAGAGAAAAAGTTTATTCCAAAGGAACTTGTCTGTTTTGTTAACAGCTTTTCCCTATTATTCTAGCTAATAACCTACTCACCTTCTCCGCAAAAGAAAGTTTCCCAGCTCTAAGTAAAACCACAGATCCATTTATGGCAATATTTTTTGACATCAGGTGCTTGAAGTCATCTTTGGAGCCATAGTTAGCATAAACCAGTGCACCCTAGAAAGAAAACAATTGTTTCAAGTCACCATTCTAGTAGAATAACTCTACAAGTTAAATAATTATTGTACTGATAGTCAAAGGTGACTGTGTATTTACTCAAACTCACATGTCAGGAATAAAGTAGAATGACAGCAATACTTTGATGCAATATTGCATAATTAGATCTATATGCTTAAAAAGAAATATGCAGGCACATTTCAAAGTAATAGCTTATCTAGTTAAATTTTAGATTTTCTGAAGGTTTATAGTTTGGCTTATGCAGTAATTAAACTACTTTAAAAAATCACTGGCAAACATCTTTACACTTACACTAAGTTCTAGGGGACTACCTGGAGTAAGTGAATAATTGCAATTGCAGAACCAGGAGCACTGCTGTAAAAAATCTTTCTGAATAACTAAGGAGAAAGAAATTACCAAATGCAACATCCATGCTCATAAAATTTAGGCTATTTATTCTAGAATTTTCTGGCATATATAGTCTTAAGAAGCTAGTGCAAAGTCTAATACTGTTTTCTTAAATTCATAATTAAGTCCCTGTCTGCAGTCATCTTTGTATTTGTATTTTGTTTTTTTGTATGTAAATATTGAGTTATTACAAGGATGTTAATCACTGAGGTATGAATCCAGTGACAGCCAGGCTTGCCAGATCTCCAGAGTAAAAGCTCTCTTATAGCCAAAACCAAAGCCAACACAAAATAGGATGTTAATAAATAGGGTCTGAAAGTTTTGTACCTCATGACTCACTTACATTTGCTGTTGAATTTTCACTGTATGCCACATAACCATCTGATATAGGCTGAGTGTCACTGATACTTCCACTCTCATCCAATATGGTCACTGAGTTCTGAGAACCACTAAGAAAAAAAAAGTTTTGTACATTCTAGAAAGAATGAAGCACTTTAAAATGGTTAATGTTTTGATTATGTAACAACATCTGACATGATCTATTAATATGAGTTAACGTTTACTTAAGATAAAGGATTTCATATTTTAAAGCAGCCACTTTGTAAAATTCCCACTGTTGTCAACATACCTGCCTTTGACTTGTAATTTAACATAGTGTTTATCTTTCCAGACTTTTCCCATTTTTAGGTCCCTCCACTGCTGATAAATAAAATATCCAAGCATCTCATCCTCTTTCGAGCCAGCCTCATGAGAAGCATACTTCTTACTCAATGTGCTAGAAAGAAAGGCCATTCAAAATTCAACTCTTAATTTTGGAAGAAAAATGAAGCAAATTTAAATCATTTGAGACTAACTCAAGTTTCAGATGACAAATCTATTCAAGTTCTTGAAAATGGGTTCACTCAATACTTAACTCCACAGTGCCACCTGCCCCCAACTGTCTGTTTCTCTTACTATTGCAGTACTTCAAAAAAGCTAAATAGAGGCCCTTGTTGACTCTTATCCAACCCACTGGAACTGCCTTTTCACAGGCAGAGTTACCTTGATCAGGCATTACCTTTCCATATTTAAGGTTGCTTTATCCTTATTACTGATTACATTATCACCTTATTTTAAAAGAGCAGGTAGAGAAATTCAGAGTCGATGCAATATTCAGAACTCATGATCATAACCAGTTTTAGATAATCTTGTACTGTCAATCCCAACAAGTCAGATTTCTAAAACCACCTAGTTTTAGATGTAACATAGTTTTATTAACTAGAAAAAATATATACTTGCTATTCTACTAACAAGTGTCATTTGCAAAATGTCATCTTCTTATAATATCTAGAACGTCTTTTACTTTCTTCTGCTTTAAGACCCTGTTCAGTTTATCTGCATCTAGACTCATCTTTCAGGCTCTCCAAATTCCACAGCCTGGAAGCAACAGTTGTGCCTCCCAGTAAGGTGGAGGATGCCCAGGCCTTACCATCACCCTGTCACTTAAGTCCTCTGGACTGTACCATCGTGGAAGTTGCTTGGGCCCTCCAGATTCCTGTACACTGTTTTCTGACCTGTGGGTACACCTTAAGCACCCTTCATTTTGTTTCTTCCAGTTAGACTTGGTTGAGCTCCTCGACAACAAAGGCTCTCATTTTCTCTATTTGTATTTCCAGTGTTGAGCACAGTGCTTGGGACATAGTAATAATATTAATCTATTTTAGTTTATGCTAATAATTCAATCTTACTTATTTCAAACTAAAGGTGTAACTTAAAATTATAAAGACAATCTTCCAATTGTGATACCTATTTTGCATAATGGTTGAGGTTCCTGGAGTAGTGAAGTAATGGAACTTTTCTTAAATAAGTATTAATTGTCTGCCATGGTCTACCAATAGATTCCCAATAGGCACTTAGCACTGCAGACATGACCCCAACTTCAATCCTAAGTTAGCTGAATGTATCTACATGACATAAATTAGTACAGCACAGTAACCATAACGTTATATGATGATTTATATGAATAACTTAGCTATTCTCAGCAATACAACGATCCCATGATGAAAGATGCTGTCCGTCTCCAGAGAAAGAGATACTTTTTCTTTATTTTTCTTGGGTTTTTTGTCTGTTTTCACCCCTGTCAAAGGGAGCACCACTCTTCCAAATTCCCAGGTTTATGACCCTGGGGTTATTTTTGCCTCTCTGCTCTCACATTCCACATACCCAACCAGCTGCCTGTCAAACCCTGCCATTTCTGCATTTCTGCAGACACAGCCACCACCTTGGTTCTGGACTGACAGCCTCCCAATTCATCTCCCCATCTCCTCTCTCCCCCACTACACCTACATCACAGGCCTCGGAGGGGGGGGAGTGGTGGGGTTGATGGTGAGGGTCCTTGGGGGTTTACGAGATGATCACACCACCCCTTGACTCAACAAGCCCCAGTGCCTCCCATTACTCCATTACACCGGTTCTCCCAAAAAGTCCTAGTACAGTTTATAGCTATTGTTAATACTCTGCAACCTGGTTTTTGTCCCTACCGTTCTAATTATCAAACACAATGTCTCAGGTTTTTATCCTAGATTTTTAAGATAGGGCCTCCTTGAAAGTCTGTCCTTGGCTTCTGTGAAATGGCACTGTTTCGAGGTATCTTTCAATCTGATCTCTCCAGCCCCAGAGAGCAGTCATTCGGAGATAGTCCTTTGGCTTTCCTCAATACAACCCTCCTATGTGGATTACCTCAACACATTTTTGGCCTGAACTGTTTCCCCCATTCTAGTCACACATTTCCAGCTATAGATAAATGCCTATATGGAGCCGTTTCATTAGTATTTCAATGTCTAAATCCCAGAATCATGCATACCCAGAGTCATTCCTATGCATGTCTGTAACTCTTACATTCTTATTTTTTGATAAATGACTACCATACTGTCAGATCTCTCAATTCTTTCTTTCTCTGCCTAGTTCACGTGGTTATTTTCTTCCTCACTATACTATTGCTATATTATCAATAGCTCTATTTTCTTCAAAAAACAAACAAAACCAGTTCAGCTCTGATCAAGTCACTCACCTTCCCAAGTCTTTAGACTTCCTTACCACTCACCAATAAAACCTAAAGGCTTTCTACTTTTAAGCCTCCCACCACACCCCACAAAGAAGGGACACTCACCATTCCCCAAACATGCCTTGTTCACATTTCCATTTCTACCTAGGGAAATTCCTATCCACCCAAGATCAAATGCTGCCTCCACAAAACTCTCTCTGGGAAACAAAACTTATTATTCTGAACTCCCATGGTATTTTCATACTTCACAATGCTTACCCAAAATAAGCATTAGCAAGCAAAGTATAAATGTTAATCTCCATTAGACCGCACTTCATTCTTCATTTTATTAATTCAAACTTAGCATCTACAATATGCAAAGGATTATGTTAGGTGCAGGGATGCAAACTATAAAGTGTTATATATACCCATTTTAATGGTTCTCTAATTACAAGATAAGAAACAGACCCCAAGTCCTTACCTGACTGTGTCAATAAGATTTTCAGCATCCAGTCTGTTTGATACCATTTTTTTGAGGTCATTCCAAGATAATTCAGGTTCAGAGTTCAGGAATGGAAGTTCCTCTGGCGAATCATCCTCTTCCTGAGTTTGCTCTGTTCCTCCACTGGAAGCATCTGAACATTTATTGTTGGTTTCGAGCTGTTTACAATAACCCAAGTAGCCAACCATAAATCCTAAGGATAAACAAGAGTTGCTATCTGAGGCATAGTTCTAAAAATATAAAATTTTCCCATATATATATTTTTATATATAAAATATTTCCCTTATAACCCTATTCACAAAATGTCAAAGCTACAAGGAATGTTGTGGGTCATCTAATCCTTCCAGTTTACAAGCATATGTGTAATTGACATTTTTAAAAAACTAAATACCTCCTAAGTTATTACTTTTAATATTTACTTAAAATTGTGATAAGCCTTTGGGCTTTGGCTTGAGCCAAACCAAAAATAAAAACAAAACAAAACAAAATCTACCAAAAGGTCTCACTGCTCTTAATAAAGTAGTTTATTGTATTGTATATGTTTATTTAAATACCACTGATTGATCAGTTTATCTAGGGTGACATTTTATACAGATGAAGGAACTGCTTTTCACCTACCAAGGCCAAAACATACAGCCATGACTCAATTCTAGGTCACAATTCCTGGTCTAGTATTTTCTTTTCTTTTTTTTTTAAATTTTTTTAAATTTTTTATTTTTTAGGCAATTGGGGTTAAGTGACTTGCCTAGGGTCACACAGCTAGTAAGTGTCAAGTGTTTGGTCTGAGACCGCATTTGAACTCAGTTCCTCCTGACTCCAAGGCCAGAGCTCTATCCACTGCGCCATCTAGCTGCCCCCTAATATTTTCTATAACACTACTGTTTCAGTGAAACCTACTCAGAATTAGTCTAACAAAGCAGAAGTGGCATAAAAGAATGAGTGATGGATGATGCCTTCTAAGGGTCCCTCCTTACCAATCAAGAAAAAGATTGAAACAGCAATAATCCCAAAGCAGATATTTCCACCAATGGGCTTTTTTCTGATGACATGGGGACGATTATTCTCTACGTTGCTTTCACCACTGTCTTCATCTTCTGCGGCCAGTTTCATTTCCACATGACTACTGTCACCATCCATTTGCCGGGCCAAACTAAAACGTGTGTATGAAAGTGGTTCTCCACTAAACTAAGGTTTAAAGAGAAACAGATAAAAGTGGATGAAAAGGAATTAAGAGTTACGTTAGAAAGGGAATACTTTCACGAATTCAAGAATACTTATATTTTGGCTCTTGATTTCTCTCCATATATGTATCCCTACACACACACCTAAAACATCAGCCAACTGGTCCCTCTTGTTATTCTTAGTTATTCAAGTCCTGCCATCTTTCACAGACTTTCATTTGTATACCTCCTACCCCTTGTTGGGAGTTCCTTTTCTGAAACATGAGCTGAAAGTGTTTTTCTTCTAGACATTATGCAAGGCTTCCACAGGAAAGTGCTCTGATTGAACCTATTCTAGAATAATCATCTCCTGACGGAGTTGGGCCTCAAAACTCAAAGTTTAATCACAACTTTAATCACAAAAAAAAAAAATATCACCCCAAGCAGTTCTGGTAGCATTTGATATTCTTCCTAGTTTTATCACTACAAGTCATAGTCATGCTTATCAGGAAGCATTTATTAATGGGTCAGGCACTATGCTCTACTGGCACTAGGAATACCAAGACAAATTAGTCTCTACTCAAGAAGCAAACATTCTATCAAGGGAGATACCATGTAAGTACTAAGTATAAATACAGACCAGCTGGTGAGAAAGGGAGATCAGAAAAGGCTTCCTACAGAAGGAAATGCTTGAGCTGTGTCTTGAAGGAGGTGACTGAATGTATTAGATGGAAGTAAGGGCAGTATTTGAGGCCTGAGAGGCCAGTCCTTGAGAGGTCAGTTCAAAGTCAAAGCATGAGCTGAATACTGTAATGAGGATCAGAGAAAAGAGTGGTACAGCTGGACTGTGGACTACCATAGTGGAGAATCATGCTTAATGAAATGGAAGCCAGAAAGACAGACTGGGGCCAAGTTTTGAAGGGCTTAAAAAGCCAGGAGTTTTTTGTATTTAACATTCTTGAAGACTCACAAAGAACAGATGTTTTATGTTAATAATATGTTATCTTACCAAGTTGGAGATTGCTGATCTGGCATGATCCATCATACTGAACTTCTATATCAATTGCTCCAATAACCTAATAAGGTAGAATAAAGGGAGTTATTAAGTTACAGAGTGAAAGTGATGACTACTAATAGCCTATGGTTCAATTATCTTAGTTCCTATGCCAGATCTTAAAACTTACTTTAATAAAACCAGGAATATGAATAAGGTTATTTTATACATTTAATTTTTACTTGGTCTTTGTTTCTTACTATGTTATCTAGGCAAGCACCATTGTACTGTTCAAAGATCAGAAATTAATATTGACAATGTGCTACTTTTCACTTTAAAGATGAAAGTATTGGGGCAGCTAGGTGGCACAGTGGATAGAGCACCAGCACTGGAGTCAGAAGTGCCTGAGTTCAAATCTGACCTCACACACAACACTAGCTATGTGACTCTGGGCAAGTCACTTAACCCCAAATGCCTCACAAAAAAAATATATATATAAGGAGAGAGAGAGAGAGAGAGAGAGAGAGAGGGAGAGAGATAGAAAATAAACAAGCAAAGTAAGATCAGTCATGAAACAAGGACAATCAGCAATCTCTATTTAGGGAAGAAGCTTAATCATGAATGGTTAGGATCCTATTGCTGTATTCCATGAGATCTTCCCCCACAATGCCTCACTGAATGGCTCCGAATGCCAGGCAAACTCGTTAAATTCTACCTGCACCTTTCCCTTCTATAATCTCTCATAGTTATTCCTCCTACTTCACAAGGGGTAGGGGTTAGGGGTACAGCACCCTTGCAATCTGGAAAATCCACATAAATTTTGGTCCTCTCTTCATACCAGAAAGTAAAAAGTCCTTTTTCTTTTATGGGGCATTTACAGTACCTTATTGTAAAATTTGGGGTAAGAATTTGGTCACAGGCTATATTACACAATACTTTACATATATTTTATGCATTTCTGAGTTTCAATCAATCAGTACTTATTAAGTGTCCTACTATGTGCTGAAGATACAAGAACAAAAATGAGAAAAGTCTGTCTTCAAGGAGCTTACTGGAGAACACATGTTGACAAGTAAGCAAATATAGGACAAAAACAAACTAAGTAAAACATAGATGAGGGTGGGAAGAATCACTCAGAACATAGTGGCTATTGGGAGAACCAGCAAAGGCCTCTAGAAGATCATGCTTGAACACAGCCTTGCAGGAAAATGGGGAGGTACAGGTGAAAAGGGAAGAAATGTTCCATTTGGGTAGTAACAGGCCAATCTGGCTGGGAAACAGAGCAAACATGGGGAGAAATATGTCATCTGACTAAAAGGCAAATTGTGAAGGGCTTCAAATGCCAAAGTTCAGATTTTATTCTGAGGACACTAAATTTGAGGAGAGGAGGTCACTGCCTGGCCACACCCACACTTTAGAATTATCACTTGGGCTGTAGCAGGAAAGAAGGGTTGAGCAGATACAGGAAGACCAATAAGGCTACTGCTTAGGTTACAGTGATAGTCCAGTCAAGGTGACAAGGGCCTGAATTAAGTTATTATACTATAAAGGAGGGAGAAGCAATAAAATGTAGTAACTTAGAGGGTTCAGGAGGCGAGAATGAAGAAGTGAGGCCGACTCCTAGGTTACAAACCTGAATGCTGAGAAGAGTACTGGTGCACTCCACAGAAGCAGGGGAAGTTAGGTGGAAGGGTGAGCTTAGGGAACAAAACAATGGAGTTCTGTTTTGGACCTGGGGACAAGCAGGTGGTATGCAGGACTGAAGCTCAGGAGTGATTTAAGGGTTGAATCTATGGATTTGGGAATTATCTGCAGAGATGATAGCTGAATGCATGAGAAATGCTGCAATCAAGAGAGGACCAGGCCCAAGCTACTCTCTGGTACTTTTGCTCATGATGCTTTATGTCTGAAATGATCAATGAATTTCCACCTCAGGTTAGAAGCCCTTCTCTCCTCATGAAGGCAAAGTCATCTAAACTTTAATGGATATTTTAAAAATGATGAATCCTAACATTTCAACAAGCATTAGAGTAAGGGCTTCAGAGCAGCTAGCTGACACAGTGGATGGAGACTCATCTTCCTCAATTCAAATCAAGGCTCAGGCACTCACTAGCTGTGTGACCCTGAGCAAGTCACTTAATCCAGTTTCCTCATCTGTACAATGAGCTGGAGAAGGAAATGGCAATCCATTCCAGTATCTTTTGCCAAGAAAACCCCAAATGGGGTCAAGAAGAGTAGGACTCAACAACAAGAGTTTGTTTTTATGGGTCATTTCTCCAAGGACACTAGCACCCTGAAGGCAGGAATTGTGTATCCCACCTCCCCTCCCCCAAAAAAGTAACAATTGCAGACTGATGGTATCTAATATGCATTATTTTTGGTTTGGTTATCACTGACATACCAATTTTTTTTAAATAATTTTTTAAATTTAAAAAAGTATTAAGTTTTATTTTAAAACAAGGAATTCTACAACTTCTGAAGTTTAATGGTTTGATGCCATAGTTATTTCACGTAGTTCTCAAAATACCAGCAAATACATAGCATACACTATGACTATATATCTCACTTGGCTATAGCATGAATTATAGACATTGTCCACAATTCCTAAAGCCTATAAACTAAAAAGGGCATCAAGGTCATTTTCCAAAGAAAATAAGGGGGAAATGAAAAAGCCAGAGCTTAAGTAAGAAATTCAATTCCTAGAAGTATATTCTCTTACTATTCTGGGAATCGACTTATCATATCCCCTACACTAGACCAAATCTCCAGTGCCAGAACTACAAGAGTTACCACACCTTTAATTACGCAGCCATTTTCTTCAGGGAAAGCTGTTCTGCAGTACAGAAGTTAACACTTTTAGCTGATAAAACTGGCCAAGTGTTATAGTAAAAAGGACTCTGGAAAGAATTATATGGTTTCTGCCACTATCACAGAAACTCAAAAATGGAAAGGTACCTCAGAAATCACCTGATCTACCACAGAAATCCAAATCAGTGGTCATTCAGCCTTTGTGTGAAGATCTTTTGGTGAGAAAAAACCTTCCACCTCCCAAGACAACTAATTCAAGTAGTTCTGTTAGGAGCTTGATTGAAATCACCACACTATTCCTATACTTCTGTTCTTTAGGGACAAAAAGAACAAAGTACTTGGTCAGGATTAACAACTCACAATTATATAATTCTTAAGTCTGATCTTTCTTGTATACCATCTCATTCCTAATTATCACATTCTCGTATACCCTACCCCCTCCCATTCCTTTTGTTTCTTCAGGCAATACATCCCTAGTTCCTTCAACTGAAGGCCCTCCTATGACAGACATGGTCTTCATTCTTCTTACCATCTAGGTTACTCTCTTCTGGAGTCACTCTAGACCTTCCTAAAATGAAGCACCCTGAAATAAACACAATATTCCAGATTTGTTATGATTAGGGCAGAATACAGGGCTATTCAACTACTAAATTTCTTACTGCAAAGAGAATATAACTTTTTTTTTTTTGCCAGTTGCAATGTATTACTCATTTTTTAATTAACTAAAAGCCTGCAGATCTTGTCATCCAACATTTTAGGCTGTTTGAAAATTCTGATAACCAAGTCTTAAGGCTATACCTCCAGCTAAGTCATTATTAAAAGTATTCAGTAACTTGGAGTTAGGAGCATTTGGCAGAGCCTTCTTCTAAGTTAGTACCAACCATCAAACCTTTTGAATCCAATCATTCAACTGACCCAAATCCACTCCACTGTGATACTGTCTAGCTTCCATCTTGTCTACAAGGGCAATATGAGAGACTCTGCCAAATACTTTGATAAAAGGAAGGTTATCCAAGTCTACTACTTCTATTATCACTGGAAGGTCACAACCTAGCAAACCAGACTGAGAAGTCAGCTCAGATATATGTTGGAGACCTTGGGTGGGGTTCCTCTAACTAAAATTCCTTCAAAAGTAAGCCCCTATCTGAAAACCAAATTAGAAAAGTGATCAATGACTCCACAAAACTCTACAAACCCTGAGTTGTCAGATATGTCAGCTGACTTTGCAAGTTCATTTTAAAAAATAAGCTTTCTGGGACCAGTAAAAGTCGTCATGTCAAGTTGATGTATTTTTTAAAAGTGGGATTCCACTGTGTCCTGTTCATCCATGAAGAATAAGTTGGCTGACAGCAAACACCTAGAGTTACAGAGCATCTCAATGGTGTAATAACTAGTTTCTATTATTTATAGTTTGGGTATCATTAAAAAAAGAGAAAAAAGAATACTATGTAACAACATTCCATTTCAGACTACCAATCAACAAACAATGTAATTTGAGTCCCTATACCACAGTGTAGCACAGTCAGGCACTGTGCTAAATGCTGGGCATATACAAACAAAAAAGAAACAATCCCTGTTTTGCATAGATGTTAGTAGCAAATAACTTCTCCTACTTGGGGTACAACAATTTATGTAAAAATGAACTTTCCCAAAACTAGTTATTGACTCTTGGCTTTGCTCCTATCAGGGCAAGAACTATCAGGCTAGTTCTGCCATGGGCATGAAATAATGTCTTATGGTCATGTGCTCCATACATACTCCAGGCAGAGTAAAACACCCCACTTTTTCTATTATACAGGTATATGGGGGGTGGGGAGTGTTAGTTCCTTGGTATACTACTAAAAGCACAATTCTCAGTTTAGAAGCAAGCACTATGGGGCAAAGGGATGTCAGCTTTTGTTTCATGGTCAATGAGGTCAAATTTCTGAGCTTACAAGAGATCACTGAATCAGCATCTTGTATTCCAAAACTATCTCTAAAGCCAGAATGAAAGGTATCAGGTGTCAAAGGACTCAGACACTGGACTGCTTCCTCTTTCAACTTTCCCTAAGGCCACAGCTAGATAACAACTGTGCTAGGTCAAAGCAAGAATTTTTCTTTCTTTTTTTTTTTTTAAGTTTTTCTCTTCACCTCTATAAAAAAATAAAGAGGTACAAGATACAGATGGTCAGCCATTAGTGTATGTTTACTTCGCAAGCTGACCGAAATTGCAATATCAATATCTTCAGTTCTGATATAACATCATGGGGGAAAAAAAAACACTTTGTACTTGAGACGTCCCTTAGTTCACGAAATTAAAACTACTCAAAAAACATTTCGGTAGATAATAAAGGGTTGCCATCTTCTAAGTGGCTAACACCACGTTTAGGTGAAGTGACTCAAAGTCACTGGCAAAATTATGAGTAAAAGAAACAAAAGTTATGCCTGGTAGTTGGAAAATCACCCCCCCCAATACTCCGAGATGCCTGCTACGATCTCCCACTTCCAAAATTTCAAATCCCAAATACCTCTAACCAGACCCATTCTTCTCCATATAATATTAACAAGACGTTCCTTGAAATACATTAACAAGCCGTTTTTATCAACCAAATATGAAAGATGAATTCTAATCCCAATAGCCAAGGATAGAGTACAGAGGTCGTTTCCCAAAAAATTGCACATGACCCTTTTATTTGCTTCATCTTATAACCTGGACCCTCACCCATCGATACCCCCCCTTTCCTTCACAATCTAGGCCCCATCCCAGAGAATGGATGAGTAGATAAATTCTGCTATACTACTCAAGTTTTCTTTTTCAATAGAGACAATATTCAGCCTGATGCCCAAAGAGTCCTAAATTGTAATAAACCTGAGATATCAGACCAGAAAGTCAAGTTAAGCAAAAAAGCATGCATGGTCCCCGTATGCACGTGCAAGGTTGACATAAGCTGCAATCCCCTAGCCTGGACCACGCTCGGCAGCCTCGTTCCTTCCAAGTATGAATGGGTGGCTACCCAACCCCCTGGTGAGTGCAAGGTTCTGGGCTCAAGGTCACTTCACAGAACCTGACACTAGTCCCCCAAGGCCTGAAGCGGCAGCCACGTGCTTCCAGAGCTAGCAGGCAAAACGAGTTGCTGCATTACCGGCCAGAAGGGACCACAGGGGGCCTCGCTCTGTCCTCTCTCACTCAAGGGCCACAGAGCCTAAGGCAAATTCTATTAAACGGCTTCGGATTCAGTGCCTTTAAAATTATGGGCCCGGGCGAGGGGTAAAGAGTCAGGAAATGCACGCACCCTGGGGGGCTGGGCAAAGGAGGGTGATGGAAGAAACCTTGGGGGCAGTGTGGGAGAAGGCAAAGAGGGAGAGGAGGAGCCGGCACCTCGGAGCATAAAGGGGGGGGGTGCTTTTCCAACTACCACGCACAACGCACGCACGGCCACGCGTGCCCCGCGAGGATCGTTGGTGCGCTTTGGGGGCGCCCCCATGCACCTGCAGTGCGCTCCGGGAGGCGCGCGTGCTCCAGCCCCTCCCAGGGCGGGAGAATGGGGGACGGGGTGGGGAGTGCGGGGAAAGCCCGGCCCCGTTCACCGGCCCCTCCTAGAAAGCCCCTCGCTGCATCCCGGGAGCCTCGGCAGCTAGTGGACAAGGACTGGGAAAAATGCAGGCAGAGAGGAGAAGAACGGGAAGCCGGCTTCGCTCATCCCCGCAGAACGGAGAGCCCGGGAGGGGGAGAGGAAGGCCAAAGTAGTCCTTCCCTTCATATCACTTACTTCTGATCGTCCTCCGCCAACGCCGATGCCAATGCGAATGCCGACCCCGCCGCCGCCGCTCTCATAAACTGCACCCGCCACTCCGCCAGAGCCCACTGAACCTCGCAGCCGCGAGCGCCCCCACCCCCGCCTTATAGGCCAGACCGGTTTTGCGTCACTTCCTCTCTCACGTACGCACCTCTACCCCTCTCAAACCTCCCCCCCCCCCAAGCTTAGTGAGAAGCTGGAGCCTGGGAGCGGGGAGGTAGCGAACGAGAGAGAGCGAGAGAACCCTCCCTCCCGCTGCGCATAGAGGCGCCTGGGGAAAGGTGGAGAAAAGGCGCCAAAGGGCTGGAGGTGGGGGAAGAGCCTGGTGGATTGTGTCGCGGCGCCTTCCTTCCTCTGCCGGCGCCCACCTACCCTTAACGTCACACTTCTGCGGCCCGGCCACCACGTGGTCGTGTGCAATCCTCAAGTGGAGCGGGAGATGTGATTCGGCCCTGCACAAGCTACCACGTGTAGTAAACCAGGACCCCCAAGGTAGCATCTTAGGCTGGCTGCTCCCCAAATTAGGGGGTCTTGAGTCTGCAGTACAAAATCAAACCGCACCAGGATTGAGCTCTTGAGAACGTTCAGTTCCAAGATTTTTCTAAAAGTTGGATTATGCTTGGAACGTAGTAGGTGCTTAAATACTTATTTTTTGCTAAATACTTTATAACTAATGTACTTTGAAGGATTCTTTTTTGTATTTTATTTGTTTCATTAAACATTTCTCAATTGCATTTTTTAAAAGTTTTAACAATCATTTTTTAAAATTTTGTGTTCCATATTCTCCCCAGCCCCTTGAGAAGGCAAACAATATGATGTGGATTATACATCATACAAAACGTTTATTAATGCTTCTTGATTTGATTTTCCTCCTTTCATCCAAACTTTTAGAATCTCCAAGGTTATGGAGACTAGTATTATGTATACACATATTATATATACTGATGGACAAGCTCTTTAAGTTGTCCACCAACTGCATGTTATAATTGATCCATCTGGTTTTTACTATGTGGATAATTAAGCCAAAACTCTTGAGTGATTACAGGTCTCACTCAAGAGTCTACAGTGTTCTGGGATTTAATGTAACCAGCTCAATATCATACACAAACAGGAATACTTAAAGAACCTCATAATCTGTAGGAAATTTCTCTTTGAGTTGGACTCTGAGCTGAATCTCTTCCATGACAATGATGAGCACCTCTGGCAAACATGTTTCTCTGTGTTTTATGCCTTTTCAGCAAGGTGGCTCAGTGGATAGAGCGATAGGCCTGGAATCAGGAAGACCTGAGTATAAATCGGGCTCAGACTTACTGTGTGACTGGGCAAATCCACTGGAGAAGGAAATAGTAAACCACTCTGGTATCTTTGCCAAGAAAACTCCATAGACAGTATTGGTGTGCTGTGGTCTATAGGATCATGAAGAGTCAGACACAATTGCACAACAACAATATTACTAATCAAAAGGTCCGTGAACAAGGTAATCTCTACCCCAGAGATCTATCCTGGGCCATCTCTCTTCTTCCTATTATCTATCTAGGTGATCTCATCATTTCCTATTGATTGAACCATCATCTCTATGCAAGTGACTCCCAAATCTAGCTCTCACCTCTTTCCTAAATTACAGTCTTTCACCTCCCACCTTCTGCTGGGCATCTCCACCTGGATGTCCTATACACATTTCAAACTCAACGAAATATAACCATCCTAGTTATGGTTCTGTTTCCATAGAGGACACAGCCATTCTTCTAGTAGCCCAGATCTGCACTAACTGCAATGCAGTCATCCTCATCTCCTCATCTTCCTTCTAACCAGTTACCCAGTCTTGTTGATTTCATCTCCTTAGTAGCTCTTCCGTCTATCCCTTCATTTTTATTAACAACTGCCCCAGTCCAAGTCTTTATCACTTCTCACCAGGATTATTGAAATAGCCTCCAAACTGCTCTCCCAGAATTCAATCCCTCTCTTCTGTAATCCATTCTCCACCCAGCTGCCAAATTGATTTTCTTCAAATATAGGTCTGATTATCTCATTCTCTACTACTAGAAGCTTCAAAGGCTCCCAATTACCTTGAGGATAAAATGCAAGCTCTATTAAGAAATAGAGCAGTAGATCAATGAAATAGGTTAGGTACACAAGACACAGTAGTCAATGACTATAGTAATCTACTATTTGATAAACCCAAAGACCCCAGCTTCTGGGATAAGAACTCACTATTTGACAAAAACTGCTGGGAAAACTGGGAAAGAGTATGGCAGACACTAGGCATAGACCAAAATCTCATACCATATTCCAAAATAAAGTCAAAATGGGTTCATAATTTAGATATAAAGGCTGATACTATAAGCAAACT